TCAGTCATCATCATTGTCCCTTTCCATCTCAAGAAATTACACACACAGGCATACATATATGTATACATATACACACACTCACACACACAGCCCTGCATGGAAACATTTCAGCTCATGTAGATTGGCATTGCTAGGCCCTTTAATTCATTTGTACATTTATAAATATTCATTAGTGTTGAGCAATTAACCAAGGCTTTCTGATACTCAAAATCTTGATGCTTAAGACAATACTGAAGTATCTTTTTTTTAACTCATGTCATATACTTTTAATGATTAATGCACACAGCATAAAATTTACCAGTTTAACCATTTTAAGAGTACAATTCAATGGCATTTAGTACATTCAAAATATTGTGCAACCATTACCACCATATTGTTCCAGACATTTTTATCACTCCAAAAGGAAATCTGGTACACATTTATTAGTCATTCGCCATTCTCCTTTCTCTTAGCCCCTGGCTACTATTAATCTGCTTTATGTCTCTATGAATTTGCCCTTTCTGGATATCTGATCTAAGTAAAATCACATGTACACAATATGTAGTCTTTTGTATCTGGTTTCTTTCACTCAGCATAATATTTTCAAGCTTTGTCTATGTTGTAGAATGTATCAGTATTTCATTTTCCTTATGACTGAATAATATTCCACTGTATGGATATATTTGTTTTTTTCCCACTTTTTGGTTATTGTGAATAGTGTTATTATGAACATCGTTATACAAGTGCTTGTTTGACCACAGTTTCACATATTACAATTCTTTTGGGAATCACAAGGTTATATGACAATTCTGTGTTTAACTTATTGAGGAACTGCCACACCGGTTTCCACAGCAGCTATACCACTTTACAATCCTACCAGCAATGCATAAGTGTTCCAATTTGTCCACATTTGCATTAATGCCTCTTATTTTCCATTTTTAAGTTATAGCCATTTTAGTAGATACAAAGTGTTCTCCCATTATGGTTTGGATTTACATTTTCCTAATGACAAATGATGCTGAGCATCTTTTCCTGTACTTGTTGGCCATTTGCATATCCTGTTTGGAGGAATGTCTATTGAAGTCCTTGGCCCACTTTTTTAACTTTTTTTAAAGTCTTATTTAAATTCAGTTAATTAACATATAGTGTATCATTAGTTTCAGAGGTTGAGTTCCGTGATTTATCAGTTGCATATAAATTACATCATGTGACCTCCTTAAGGCCCATCACCCAGTTACCCCATCCCTCCTTTCCTCCAGCAACCCTCATTTTGTTTCTTGTATTTAAGAGTCTCTTATGCTTTGTCTCCTTCTCTGATTTCATCTTATTTTATTTTTTCCTCTTTCCCTTTGATCCTCTGTTTTGTTTCTTAAATTCCACATATGAGTGAAATCATATAATTGTCTTTCTCTGATTGACTTATTTAGCTTAGCATAATATCCTCTAGTTCCATCCCCGTCATTGCAAGTGGCAAGATTTCATTTTTTTTTTGATGGCTCAGAGAAATAACCCTTTGTGTGTATATATATATATATATATATATCACATCTTCTTTATCCATTCATCTGTCAATGGACATGTGATCTCTTTCCATAGTTTGGCTATTGTGGACATTGCTGCTATGAACATTGGGGTGCAGGTGCTCTTTCAGATCACTATGTTTGTATCCTTTAGGCAAATACCCACTAGTGCAATTGCTGGGTCATAGGGTAGCTCTATTTTTAACTTTTTGAGGAACCTCCATACTGTTTTCTAGAGTGGCTGCACGAGCTTGCATTCCCACCAAGAGTGTAAGAGGGTTCCCCTTTCTCCACATCTTTGCCAACATTTGTTGTTTCCTGACTTGTTAATTTTAGCCATTCTGACTGGTGTTAGGTGGTCTCTCATTGTGGTTTTGATTTGTATTTCCCTGATGCCTTGGCCCATTTTTAAGTTGTGTTGTTTTTCCTTTTGTTGTGAGTTGTAAGAGTTCTTTACATGCACCAGACACTAGACCCTTATCAGATATATCATTTACAAATATTTTCTCCTATACTGTGAGTTGTCTTTTCACTTTCTTGATAGTGTCCCTTGATACACAAAAAGTTGGAGTTAATTTTTTATATTATGTGAGGTAGGTATCTTTTTTTTTTTTCTAAGAGAGGGAGCAGAGGAGGGAAAGAGGGAGAGGGGGAGAGAGAGAGTCTTCGATGTTTGTTCTCCTTTTTCAAGAGTGTTTTGACTACTAGGGGTAATTTGCAATTTCATATGAATTTTAGTATTTTTTTCCATTTCTGCAAAAAAAGGCCATTGGGACTTTGATAGGGGTTGCCTTGGATTTGTAGATCACCTTGTAGAGTATTGCCATTTAACAACATCACATTTTCCAATTTATGAACAAAGGCTATCTTTCCTTTTGTCTGTTTCTTTAATTTTTTTTGCATTGTTTTCATAGTTTTCAGTGTATAAGCTTTGTGCCTCTTTGGCTAAATGTATTTATAAATATTTTTTGATGCTTTTGTAAAAGGTTTTTTTTTTTTCTCAATTTCCTTTTTGGATTGTTTATTATTAGTGTGTTAAAATGTAACTGATTTTTGTGTGTTGATGTTATATCCTGCAACTTTGGGCAATTTGTTTATTGACTCTAATAGTTTTGTTGTTAATTCTTTAGGATTCCCTCTGTGTAAGACCATGTTACCTGTGAAAAGAGTTTTACTTCTTCTTTTCCAATCTGGATGACTTTTACTTCTTTTTATTGCCTAAAGCTTCCAGTAAAATGTTGAATAGAAGTAATAAAAGTAGTCATTCTTGTCTTGTTCCTGATCTAATGGAAAATTTCTTTAATCTTTCATCATTATGATATTAGCTGTTTTTTTTTTTAATGCCCTTTATCCTTCTGTGCAAGTTTCTTTCTTTTCATAGTTTGTGGAGTGTTTTACCCATGAAAGATCATTGGATTTTGTCAAATGCCTTTCTATAACAATTGACATGATCATGTGGGGCTTTTTTCCCCTCATTCTATTTATGTGGTGTATCATATTGATTGGTTTCCATATGTTGCATTCCTGGGATAAATCTCACATGGCCATGATGTATAATCTTTTCAGTAGGCTGCCGAATTTGGGTTACTAGAATTCAATTGAGGATTTTTCCATCTATGTTCATTAGGGATATTGGTCTATAGCTTTCTTGTCTTGTAATATCTTTGTCTGGCTTTGGTTTCAAAGTAATGCTAGCCTCATAGAGTGAGTTAGGAAGTTTGTCCCTCCTGTTCTATTTTTTGGTGGGATTTTCTTTATTCTTTTCTCTTTCTGCTCCTCAGACTGGATAATTTCAGTGGCCCTATCTTCAGTTTCACCGATTCTTTCTTCTTCCTGCTCAAATATGATGTTGATATCTTCCAGTAAATTTTTCATTTTAACTATTATACTTTTCAGTGCCTTAATTTATATTTGGTTTCTTTTTATAATTTCTCAGTTGATATTCTCCATTTGATGATACATTCTTCTCTTGGTTTCCTTTAATTTTTTTGGTTCGTTGTTACATTTAGCTCTTTGAGCACATTTAAGGAAGTTGATTTAAAATATTTTTCTCATAAGTCCAAGGGACTTCCTCAAGGACAGTTTCTGTTTATTTCTTTGTGTGTGTGTGTGTGTGTGTGTGTGTGTGTGTGTGTGTAAATAGACCATACTTCCTTTGTATGCTTCATAATTTTTGTTGACAAGTTGACAATTTAAATATCATAATATGCTAACTCTAGAATTCAAATTCTTCTCCTTCCTCAAAGTTTGTTATCGCTGCTTGTTTTGGGTTTTACTTGTTTGTTTGTTTGTTTCGTGACTTTTATAAACTATTTTTGGGGAGACTAAAGACTTTGTTGTATGTGACCACTGAAGTCTCTAAATGCCTGGAGCCAAGAAAAAAAAATCCCCCAGTCTTTGTAGCAGGGCTCTGTGTGTTTGTTCAGGCATGTCTTAAATGCTCAAGTTCTTTGCCTTGTTTTCCTGTTTGCAAGGGCTTGCATGCTTGTGACAAGTAAGAGCTTAGAATCTTCTCAAGTTCTCTGGTCATGAGCATGGCCTTGTAGATTCCCTGGTATACATGAGAACTTTTCAAAGCCCTTATTCCTCAAAAGCATATCAACCTTTCCTCCCATCTTTTTGATGTGTGTTATTTGACACAACTGATATCATTTGCCTTACGTGGCAGCAAGTAGTCATTTGCCTTTGAATATTTTCAGCCACTGCCTTATACAGCCATGTTACTGTTTCTCTTTTCTGAAAGCGTTCTGAGTTAGAGAAATAAAAGTGGGCTCTTTGCATTAGGCTTTAGGGAGCTCCAAGAGAGGTCAAAACAGACAGCCACAATTCTTCAAAAACAAAGTTTGCTCTGTTCCCTCCGGCCCTATGAGCCCACACTGGGGATATGGGCTGCTATCTTCAAGACTGCCACTGAGCTGGGGGAAGTGAAGTCATGGGTAATTTAAATTGTTATAAAGTTCTCCTGCCAGTATTCAGTTGCCTTTCTATTGATTAAATGTTCAGTTGATTGCTATAAACCTTTGACTGTTTTCCAGAGTTCTGACAAAGTTGATTTTGACAGTTTTTGCCAGGTTTTCTAGTGTTTCTATAGTGAGACAAGCTCTTTGAGTTCCCTGCTCCACCATTTTTACTGATGCCACTCCCATATACTTTTTTTTTTTGAGGTTTCAATATTTTATTCAAGTTTTACTTTAAGAGATGTTAATTACAGCATTTGAAGGGGAGGATCTAATTCCACACAAAATGGAAGACTCTAAAATGTACCCATTAAACGGCTAAAAAATAAACCAAGTGGCAAGAATAGAACAATTTAGATTCCTAGTGTTGTCACAATGTGATTACAGTCACAGAGACTCTTCCCAGCTCAGAGCTGGGACTTTTAGAAGCTATTTCATACTCTGGTGCAGGGGCAGAAAACCACAACATGAGAGGGAATTAAGTCCTGAATTAGTGGCTTCATTACATCCATCTTCTCTACCCCAAAATGGGACAAAAGAAACAGCTACCACAGTCTGCAGATTACTTTTGTTGTAAAAGAGGTGATGGACTGGGGTGGAAACAGGTCAGGAAAATCTGTCTAAAAAAGTCTCTTTCAGATGGGTTTATACACACCATCAGTGAGTCTCTCCTTCCTTCGGGTAGGAAACCCAGTTCAATTCTCAGGAAGTCATAATTTCATTCATGTACTCCATACCAATTAACAAAGTGCCTATAAATTATCAGCTTCCATTTGCAGCCATTTCTAGATAAAAAAGAAACCTGAACTCTCTGGAGGGGCCACCAAGCTCCCCCCAAGTCTACAGCTGAAAGAACTTTTCATGGACTTGGATTTCTTCTGTACCTCTGAAAGGGTAACACCTTAAAGCTGAATCATCTTTAACCTGGAGGTCTAACATGACACTTAGCAATAGTTGCATCCCAGACATACAACATTAAAAGGTACACTAAATTCTGAAGGTAGCTAGGCTCAAAATAGTTTAAAATTAAATGACTGTACAGTATTCATTTATGCCTGAAATTCCAGCCCTAGACCAAGCTTGTGGCCGCCAGCATTGACATTCTTGCCATCCAGCAGAGCGGATAGGGTCAGTTTGATACCTGGCTTTAGGGTCTGAGTGTATCCTAAACCTATCAGGCTGGAGTTGTTCACTTTAGCCGAGAAGCAGGCATCAGGGTCGATCTGATACTTGGCCGCTATTCCAAAGCGAGTGTTACTATTTCCTGCTGTCCAGGCCAGATTGACAGCGGTCTCTAACTTCTTGTTCACCTTCTGATAAATGGAGCCACCAAATTCTGTCCCATCGTTTACGTTAGTGTGGACCTGGAATTCGTCAGTCTTGTAGCCAACCGCAAAGTTGCTCTGGGTCACTTGAGACTTTGCAGTCTCAAAATTCATCTGGTAGCCAGCCAGCCAGCCTTCATATCCCAGCACCACAGCACCCCGGACTGAAGGACGGGCAATGTCGAAATCCACGTCACAGCCCAGGTTGATGTGCTCCCGCTTATACCCTGTCTTGATTTTAGCATTTTTTTCCCCTGTGTTTGGTGAGAACGATGAATCAAAGGTCAGCTTCAGTCCACGTGCAAGCTGATCTTCCACAGTGATCTCTGTGCCTAGTGTGTTGTCAGTGTTCCATTTCTCTGTAAACGTCAGACCATATTCAGTCCATCTGTACTTGGTTTCCAGACTGCCCATCACTTTGGTGGACTCAGTGTTGGCTGAACCTGAGCTTGTAAATTCCAGTCCATTCTCAGATTTTGTTTTCAAGTCAAGTTTTATTAAGCCAAATCCATAACCCTCGGTGAAGACATCCCTGGCAGATTTGCCAAGATCAGCATACATGGGAGGCACAGCCATCTTCTGCTCAGGGGTGGTGGTGGCAGGCTCAGCGGCTGCTACCGCCGGGGCTGCAGCGAGAGGAACAGAGCGAGCTCACTCCCGTATACTTGTATCTATTTTTCTTATACTTATAAAATATATTTGATTGAACACAGAACAGAAATTGTTTTTTTTTTCACTTAATAGACTTGTATTGGGTCTGTACTACATGCTCAGACCAATCCTAAAAAGGCAGATATAACCATGAATAAGACAGCCTGACATCTTATCTCGGAGTTTTATATGCTTCTGAGAACATATAAGATATTAGATACCAACTACTAGGACCCATTACTTACTGCTTTTGTAAGTATTTATTGGAATTCAGCCACACCCATTCCTTTTTTTTAAAAGGGTACTTGCCATTTTTTAAAAAAGATTTTATTTATTTATTTGAGGGAGAGCAAATGAGAGAGAGAGAACAAGTAGGGGGAGGAAGAGGGAGAAGCAGACTCCCAGCTGAGCAGGGAACCCAGTGTGGGAGCTCGATCCCAGGACTGTGGGATCATGACCTGAGCTGAAGGCGGATGCTTAACCAACAAGAGCCACCCAGACGCCCCCACCCATTCCTTTATATATTGACCATGACTGTTTTTGTGATGTAACGGCAGACTTGAATAGTTCCAACAAAGCTGAAAATATTTACTATTGGCATTTTACAGAAAACATCTGCAGACTCCTGAACTAAGGCACTGATACTGAATACTGAATTTTGAGAAGGAAAAAAAAGGACAAAGCCCCTGTGTCATGCAAGGATGTGTACATGTTATGATTACATTATATTTCAGATATATAAGAAAGAGACAGTGAAAAATTAAAAGATATTTATTTGATCTCAGGGTGGCAAAGAAATTTTTTTTAAGATTTATTTATTTATTTAAGAGAGAGAGAGCACACTGAGCAGGGGCAGGGGCAGAGGGAGAGGGAGATAAGCAGACTCCCCAGTGCAGGGCTTGATCACAGGACCCAGAGATCATGACTTGAGCCAAAATCAAAGGTCGGATGCTTAACTGATTGAGTCACCTAGATGCCCCAGAAATTTCTCAATAGAAAAGAAAAATGCCATAAAGGAAATATTGATAAATCTACTTTCCAATTAACTAACTAATTCTAATTAACCAATAAACTTCAACAGTGTAGCTTTTGTGTATGACTCTAAGATTTTTTTTTAAGATTTTATTTATTTAGAGAAAGAAAGAGAGAGTGTGCAAGTGGGCAGAGGAGCAGAGGAAAAGGGAGAGAGCGAATCTCAAGCAGACCCTGTGCTGAGCGCAGTGCTCCTACACTGGGGCTCAACCTCAAGACACTGAGATCATGACCTGAGCTGTAATCAAGAGTTGGTCGCTTAACCAACTGAGCCACCCAGGCACCCCAACTCTAAGATTTTTAATATACTTTTCACATCACTCTATTTTTAAACTTTCTATACAAATGAAAAAGTATGGCCTGATTTTAGGCAATGGCGTGGCTCTAAAATTATTCAGCATCAGAGATATATTCCAAATTTATAGGATAGGCTTAGCCTAAAATGAAGAGGATGTGTATGTATTAAGCCAAAGAATGATATTATACATTTTCATGATGATTATTTTAGAAGTGTAGCCACTTGGCACCAGCCTGGACATTGACTGATGTACTAAGTCTTAAAACCAAGTAAGTTCACCCAGAGACACAAGGACACTGACGAGAATTATCTTGCTGACCTCAAGAAGAAAAGAATTTCAAACTTATTTGTCACTAACACAGTGTACTGAAGGGAGGACACAGTTTTGTGTATCAGAAAGAAGGTATCAGTATTGTAATAGTACTAGTGCAGAAGTAGGACCTAAGCTCCTGAGAAAATGAGTGCTGCAAAAATGTTTGAACTGCAACTCTCTTTAGCACACCCCTAATCACAGGGTTTGTCGTTTGTTTTTTGCCTTTGGCACAAAGATTAGAGATAAACATCATTTCTTTGCACCCTTGAGAACTAAGACCAGCACTGAACAGTTCTCTAGAAAATGTTTGAACTTGCTTCTTTAAAATCTGAAAGCAATTACCATAAAAATATCAGAGCTATATATTACCACCAACTTCTAGGAGCATTCCTGGCTCATAAAAAGGCATAGACTCATATGCTTTTTATTGTATTTCTTAATCTTGAAGGAATTGTTGATTTAATTAAAACAAAACTATTTTTTAGCACAAGACTCAAATCATCTATAAAAAGCAATACATTTAATGACCCCTAAGAATACCACATTAACTTTGTCTTTTAACACACCATAAGAATGTCAATTAATGTCAAGTTAAATCCAAGATGGACACATTAAATTCCCACTGGCTTGAAATATTTTATTAGATGTTTGTAAATATGTTCCCTCTGGAGATTTTTCTAATAATTACCAAAGAATGCCTGTGCCTCAGAAGTAGAATCTCTTCCTCACATGTCTATACTGTTTTCCAATCATCTAAGTGTGATAAAGTTTTAACCAGAAATGACAGGTGATGAGACTGGCAAAGAAGCTGACTGAAGCAAGCCAGATCTGACACCTGTAAAATTAGAAACAAGATACCTTAACCAAGTGGCAATTGTCAGTGGTTACATATGAATGTTATTTTACGGTGGAATATTATTCAGGCCTGTTTTGAAAGCCTCATACTAACTGGCAATTCAACTGCTCAGGATTGTTAGTAACAAAGACACAATTATAAAGAGGTTACACATTTGCAAAAGGTGATTTCCACTGGGTTCTGAAATTATAAATGTATATGTTTTCGTGAAGTTTATTATTTGTTTTGCATTTTTCTCGCAACAAAGAAGTCTTAACGCATTGTTCCCCATGTTCAGCTTTTTGCAACAATCCTTTGCTTCATTTGATGTCAAGTGTCACAGCAAATCTGGCTGAGGAAGGAGACCTAAAGTATGTTAGAAAAACAACAACAAATTGTATGCTGTAGATGCTGGGCCAGAATGCAGAGCTTATAAATGAATACCTGTGCACAGATAATATAACCATCTATTTGATAGAGAAGGAAAATTAGCTGATTAAAACTTACTTTCACATAAGTGTAGAAATAACAAACTTAAAAGAGATTTAAAAAAAGCACCTACTGTTTTGATGCTTTAGTATGAGTAGCAGTGATTTGGAGAAAGAAAATATGAGACATCAGAGAAAGGGGTATAGAAGCTAAGCTTAATGTGAGGCTCTGAAGTGAGAGATTACAGAATATCATATATGAGGTATCAGCATTGCTCACCAAGTTTGGTGTGACTGAGGGGATTCTGATGGTATGCAGAACAATTATGAGAGGGTAAATTTAGCGGGATTAACTCCAAGTGAGTTGGACAAAATTTGATAAGGAATAACCATGAAATGGTGTGAAAGGATAACTAACATTACTGGATCTTCTCTCCTGGTCTGTGGGAACCAGGTTTGAGTTGAATCTATTTTGAACAAAGGAGTATGCATCCAGCTTTTGCAAATATTAGGTTGCATAAACAGAAACTAAAACTAAATACCCTGGGGGGGAAGCAGAAGTCCTGTCATGTAGTCATTTTTTCAGCTATATTAGCACTAGAAATAATAGACCAATAGAAAGTGAGAGTTGAACAAAACCTCAGTGATGCTTTGGATCCTCTCATTCTGGGTTACACCTATGTAAACTGAAATAAAGAATAGCTTGTAAACCAAATTTGTGTGTGTGTGTGTGTGTTCACAAATGTGTGTTATATGTATACACACACACACACACATACACACACACACACACAAACACACTGCCCCTTATATGACTTACTCTATACCAGTGTAGTTTTCTTCACTTTGATAATCAAGCCCAGTCCTAAAGCTCTTTCATAAGCAGCACTATTTTCCAGTTCAACATTAACAAACACAGGTGTCTAGGCTTGCTAGCACAAATGTAATACAGCAAAGAATCAAATCTCTGTGAGAAAATGCGTTGAAAATTATCTGAAAGGGTACACACAAAACCAACAATAATACTTACCTCCAAAAAGAGAATGCATGGAGAAAAATTAGGGTGGTGGTCAAAGGCAATTTTAGCCTCATCTGTAATGTTCTAATTTTGGACAAAGAGAATGGCTTTGTATATCATTTGTGTAAATAAAAAATCAACTTAAAAAATAGCATGTTAGTAGATATACAAGTTAATCTTAGCATTTTTGTATATATTTACCTATTTGCTTTCTCAGATTTATATTTTTAAAATTGCTTAAGACAGGAAACACATACTATCATCTTCCCAGTTCTAGTTGTATTATCTCAAATAACCATTTCTGAATAAGCATATCAAGAGTCAGTTCTTTCCTTTGCAGTTTTTACCATAACCTCATGTGCATTTGTTCTAATCGATAGGTTACTCTATCACAAAGCTCACAAAAGACAGATTTTCTTTCTATGGTACCTACTACCAAACCTGGTATCATATAATAAAAGTTACTATCAATTAAAATTTTCTCTTAAAATTTTACAAACTTCTAGGAAACCAAAATATTTATAAAGAGATGAATAGAATTTCAGATATTCAAATATTTCATGAAAATATGCTAGAAATATACAAACCTAAGATAGTAACCCGGAGCTCCATCTAATGTTAACAGGCTTGTTGTACCTTGATGAGAATCGGTCTCATTTATAGAACCTAGCTTCTAATGCTATCATGTTTACCAAACTTGGGGCTAGTATTCACATGTACATTTTGATAATTTTTATATTCTGGGCATACTATAGATATCACATTCTAATATAATGTGCATAGGCATGAATAGAAGCAGAGTTTTCGATCTGGTAATAACCTTCAAAATCTTCAAATTCAGTTTCGTCAAATGAGAAATTGAGAACCAAAAGGTGAAGTTACTGACTTTAAATCATTCAGCAAGTTAGTAATGACTGAAGTTGGGACACAGGTGCTGATCAACATATATAAATGTGTTTTCTTATATGCAACCAAGTTAGAAAAGTAAAATGGGTATGAGAAAGAAAGTCACAGTAGTTCATTAAATAATATAAGGTATTCCCTAAGCAAAAGCTTGCCTCTAATAC